CTTGTTTCTAAGAGGCGAACGCTGGAACTAACACAGATGCCCTTCAGCGTATGCATCCCTATGAAGAAGTGCTAAGAGACTAAGGAATGCACGGGTGAGAAAAAACATGCATAGCTATAATGCATCCAGAGAGAATTATGCCAAATGGGGGTGGAAAACAGCCAAATCCCACCGACTGAATATTGTTTAAATCCACCAGTATAACATTCCTTCAGCGACAAAACTGTACAAACAGAAAACAGATTGGTTCTTTTCAGAAGTCAGGGAAGAGAGGGAACATGTCCACCAAGGGCGACAGAATGAGGCCTTATGGCAAAACTGTTCTGTATCCTGACTGTGTGCATATTTTGGGTTTTTGAGACAAGTCTCATTACGTAGCCCTGAGTGAGCTGGAGTTTACTATATGGCCCAGAGGGGCTTCAAAGTACCAAGCCTCCTGCCTCAGCCTCGAAGTGCTACGACCACCAGCACATATCACTGCATGTGGCTCTGCATATTCTTAGTTTCTGAAAGGAAAGGGCTTAGAGAGGAGGAATAACAGACATTTCCAAACTTTATAACTTTAGGCAATTAATCTTGTTTCTTCACTTATAAACACAATTAACAAAATGTTATGGTTGGCTGAATGACAAAGTATATTCACATCCTGAGTATCCATTCTCACCACTTTTATTCAAAATAGTATTTGAGATCATAGCCAGAGAAATAAGGGAAGAGAAAGAAACAAAGGGGACAAGCATAAAAAAGAAGCTCAACTGTCCCTACTTGCAAATATGATCTTACAATTGAAAAGCCCAAAAGATTCCATAAGATAAGTCTTAACTCTGACAAAGCTTTCCAGTAAGATATAAAATCACACAAAACCTGTAGCTTTTCATACACCAATAAAAAGACTCAGGAGAGCAATGCCTTTAATCCCAGCACTCAAGAGGCAGAGACATGCAGATCTGAGTTCGAGGCCAGCCTGGTCTACAAAATGAGCTCCAGGACAGCCAGGCTATACAGAGAAACCCTTCCTCAAACAAACAAACAAACAAACAAAACAAAAAGAAAAACCTCACTGAGAAAGTAATCAGAAAAATAATTTCACAAAATAGTCTCAAAACAATCCAGCTAGCCTCTTCTTATACCAGTCAACAGGCCCTCCAATTTCCAAGCATTAGTTATAAAATATACAACTTTGTTTTGCAGAAATCCCACCTCTGCCTCTTACACCCTCCTGCTCTTCACACCCAATCTACTTCACATTCTATTCTGATTTCCAAACATAAGGAACCTGAACTCAGCTCTGCCCCAGCTCATGGCCAGGCTATACAACAAGCCCAGATTATGAAATAGCCCTTAACTTGTCTCTTCTTTACATTCTGTTACCAAGACACCTCTCCAGAACATACCGAGGTATGGTACTTTGTATTAGTCTGTAATCCCAGCACAGGATAATCTTGTGTTTGAAGCCAACTACATAGCAAGTTCCAGGCCAGCCTAAGCTATAGAGGGAGATCTTACCTCAAAATCCCAATAAATACACAAACAAGCAGAACAGAAAGTTGATTACTCCATGTCTTAGGATTTTTACTGTTGCCATAAAACACCATGACCAAAGCCAATTGATGAAGAAAGGGTTCATTTCGACTTACAACTCTCTGTCACAGTATGTCACTAAGGAAAGAGTCAGGGCACCAACCTAGAGGCAAGAACTGAAGCAGAGGCCAAGGAGAAATGCTGCTTACTGGCTTGCTTCCCATGGCTGGTTCAGCCTTCTTATCCAACTCAGGACTATCTGACCATGGACAACACCCCCGCCCCCCAAGCAACTTCCACATCAATCATTAATCAAGAATCTGACCTACAGACTTGCCTACAGGCCATCTGATGAAGTTTTCTCAACTGAGGTTCCTCTTCCCAGGAACTCCAATTGGTCAGCTGATAGAAAAGAACAACCCTAGTTTAACTCTAGATTTAATGTCCTTGTGAAACCCTTACTGCCAACAGCATAAAATCAGCATTAGCCAAGAATTCAAGCCTGGATCTAGCTTTTCCTGTTTCTCTCCCAGAAAGGATACACATTCTCTCTCTGTATCCTGCCTTGACAGAGTTCCCTCCTATGCACTTGTGGAAGCCAGTGGCCCTCCTGCTCTGACTCGCTCCCTCCCTCACTGAGCTAGGTCCATCCCAGCACATGTCTCCACAGTTCTCTGTATCTATACTGCGACATCTGTGGCACGCTGTAAGTTAATCATCTATCCATTCCCACAGTCTTCAGATTGGACTTGGGCCTCTCCTTGAACTCAAGGATTAGATGAGGAATTAATTGTATATTCCAAGGAGGCAGAAAGATTCCAGAAAGAGTTAATGAAACAATGACTGTCACGGGCCACTTCTATTTATGTCATTTTTTTCTATAAAGACTGAGAAAATATCCCAGTACTCAGGATACAGAGGCAGGCAGATCTCTGTGAGTTTAAGGCAAGCCTGGTCTACAGAGTGAGTCCCAAGACAGCCAGGGCTATACAGAGAAACCCTGTCTCAAAGAAGAAAAAAAAAAAAAAAAAAAAAAGGAAGGAAGGACAAAAAAGAAAAACTTAAGAAAATTATTAGAGTCGGGCATTGGTGGCGCACGCCTTTAATCCCAACACTTGGGAGGCAGAGGCAGGGGGATCTCTGTGAGTTTGAAGCCAGCCTGGTCTCCAGAACGTGTTCCAGGACAGGCTCCAAAACAATACAGAGAAACCCTGTCTCGAAAAAACAAAAAACAAAAAATGAAAATTATCAGTATAGCTTAGCAATGAACTGTACTAAAAAACAGATTTCTAGTTTGTTTGTTTGTTTGAGATGGGGTTTCCGTAGCTTTGAAGCCTGTCCTGTAGCTGGCTTTTTAGACCAGGATAGCCTTGAACTCACAGAAATCTACCCAACTCTGCCTCTTAAGTGGTGGGATTAAAGGTGCATACCACCACCGCCTGGCTTTTGTTTGTTGTTTTTAAAGTTATAAAGTTTCAAATTATTCTCTCAAAGGATTTGACCAGGGTTGCACACAGTGACTTTATGGAAGAGCACAGGAGCCAGGCCTTGTGGTGGAAGCACTGTAATTTCAGCTGTTCAGAGAGGGCTGAGGCAGGAAGATTTTCACAAGTTCAAGACCTTCCTGGGCTACAGAATGAGTTCAAGGCTAAGTTTGGCAATCAGTGAGGCCCTATCTCAAAATAAAAAGAGAAACCAGTTTAGGGATGGAGCACTTGCTTAGCATGTGCACGTCCCTGCTTTCAAGTCTCAGTACAAGACAGAAAAAAGGGCGCGGTGGGGTCACAAACTGGACTCACAGTGCTAGTGGAATGGTTTAGGACAAATGACTTAAACTTCCACGTGTTCCAGTTTCCTCCTCTGTTACAAAGTAACCACTTTACACTGGTGTTGAGGGACTGAGTTGAGACTTAGCAGGCCCTTGACACACTGCCAGGCAGAGTAGCGAACACTAACACATGTCAGTTCTTACCACTGTTTTTAAGTCTTTTAAATGCACTGCTCCCCTCCCAAAACCTCAATGAACTGTCATCTCCATTCAGAGACAAAACACCCCACGGAAGCTACATAAGCTACTGTATTTTTAAGAAGCAACTTAGTCATCCCTACATACAACCTCTACCCCAACCCCAGATCAAACTGACCCTATCTCCCCAGATTCAGTTTAGAAGAGGCCCCCTCCTGACATCTGCAGTAGCCAGTCTTTAGACCTGGTGGGAAAAGAGGGACCCAACACTTGTTCAACTTAAAGTGGAAGCCATGTGGGAATCACAGTGCCAGATGTACACTGGGCACTTGAGACAGTAGCTTTTGATGACTGAAGCTAACTGCTCCTGTGAGTTTTCAATTCTTTTACACTCAATTCTTTTACTAATTCAAAAACACACAAGTTCAAGAGCTGGGCCTATAGCTCAATGGTTAAGAGCACTTATTGCTCTTTTAGGGGACCAGGGTTGGGTTCCCAGCACCCACACTGGTGACTCAAAAACATCTGTAACTCCAGCTCCCGGAGGTCTCCACTTTGCATGGTGCATATAAACTAATGCAGCCTCACATACACAAATAAAAATAACATTTTTAAATACACAAACTTTACAAAGATGTTTCTTTGACGAAATACGTGAAGGACATGAATGGGAAGCATTTATCTTGGTAATTCCGTCACCAGCATTTTTTTCAATACTTTTCTTGGACTTAAACTGGAATAGCCAAACACTCAGGTTCGTCTACATCCACTCAAGTCGCACTGAACTTCAAAGTCAACTAATCCTTCAAGAAAGGACGAGACAACAAAACAGTTCCACAACCACAAGGAAACACCTCACGTCTTTATTGCTTCCGGTCAAACATAATCTCAGACGTTAACATCCACCCTGAAAGACCACACCTGCTAGGTGGGCGTGGCGAGGCACGCCTACCGTCGCACCACTACCGGGCAGAGTGGAAAGAGAGTCCGAGAGCTGGAAGGCCGGCCCTTAGCAAAAGCATGTCCCCAAAAGACGGACAGGAAAATCAGGCTCGCCGTCAGCCTCCAGCGTGGCCTACCTTCCCTGCCACCTAAACCTCGCGCACACCTCCAGCACCCGCAGCACACGGACAGCTCGAGCCCTGGACAACTTTCTCGTGGGTCTCCCACGTGGCGGCCCCCGGGGAGCTTCGTGCACCTGGGACCTGGCACACCGTAGGGACCCGGCAGCTCCCGGGGCCGCCAAGGTGTGGGCTGGGCAGGAAGGCGCCTTGTCCGTGGGTACAGACGGGGCGGCCCTCGTCCCGCAGCCCGCTCGGCTCCGGGGGCCTCCGGCTCTGCAGAGTCGCCCGCCCTGATCATCCTCCACCCAGCTCCCACGAGTGGCTGCCCGCCCCCGGGGCCCACCGGGGAGAGCGTGCGCTCGGGAAGAGCGGCCCACGCCGCAGCTGCCCCTCCGCCCACTCGAGGGATCCCCTGGCCGCCGCCATGTTCCCCGCGCCGAAACCCGCACCTGACACGGCGGGCTGCGCGCCTGGGGCACGCCGGGGAAAAACGCGCGACGTCGCGGGGACACTGGGGAAGAGGCTGCGACTCCGCGGGGGTCACAAGCTGCGAGCAGAACCCGCCGCTAATTCATCCCGGAGCGGGGAGGCGTCGAGCCCGTCGCCTTAGTAATGCGTCCCGTCAGGCTCATCCCTGATTGGCTGCGGGCGCTGTGACGCGGAGGCGTCCCCGGACTGCGTAGAAGTCCTTGTGCTGGGCGCCCCGCCCCTGCTCCGCCACCCGGAGAGACCCCTGACGTCGCCGAGGCTCCTTTAAAGGGGCCGTGCCCCGATCCTGGTCTGGCCGGCGGCAGGTGACCGGCAGGGATAGAGAGTCGGCTGGGGCGAGGGGAAACCAAGATCGGAACTCAGCCGAGGTCGCTCTCCGTTCCGGAGATAACGTAAGGGATAACAAATGCGGGGCACTCACTTGAAAGCCTGCTTTTCACGCCCCAAATCAAAGAGCAAATTAGCATCCAGCCAGTTGTAGAACCCGGTCGTTCTAGATGGTCCTAGGTGGTGTGAAACTAAAGACACCTTCGACCTTTGAGGTTGCCTAATGGAAAACAAATCCGAGGCACTAATTTATAAGCCTTGTTTTCCTGCCCTAAATGGAAGGGCAAGTCTACTGCTCCTGGCACACAACTGTGTATACTCAGCTCTCAACTTTCTCTCACCTGGACAGCCCACTTTGGGGGGTGGGGGTGGGGTCCGAGACAAGGTTTCTCTGTGTAGTCCTGGCTGTCACAGAACTCACTCTGATGGCCTCCAACTCATAGAGATCTCCTGCCCCCGCCTCCCAAAAGCTAGGTCAAATGTATGCACCACTACCAACCACTACCACTACCACCACCGGGCAAGACCCTTAAAAAGAAGTGCAAGGTACCTTCCTGCACAGAAGCAGCATTTTGTCTCCTTTACTTTTGTTCAGTAGTTATTTGAGATGTGCCAAAATCGTATTAGAAAAATGAAAAATACAACAAATATCATGAGCACAAAAAAAAAAAAGAAGAAGAAGAAGAAGAAGTGCAGTTATCCCTGTGAGGTTGGATGAGCCTCACTTTTGTCTCTAAACTCATAGTTCTGGAAATTTAGGACTTGTTGTTTTAGGATGAGCGTGGTGATCCCCGGAACCTCTCAGGGATGCACTGTGACTTCTCGGGGGACTTGAGGAGGTTGTACATAGCCTTTCCTCCGCTGGAGCTTCCTCTTGTGTGCTAAGATGCGCTGGGGAATGTAGCTGGAGAGACAGGGCTGATGTGCAGGCATGCGGCTGGGTCCTTTCTCGTTTTGACCTCTCTTCATAAGTGGCTGCTGTCCACGTGAACTGCTAGTGGACAATTCAAAGCATGCTGGCCTTAAACCTGAAAACACCATCCAAGTCTTAGGCTCTTTTCTTGGCAGTAAAAGGTGCAAGCTACAGAAACTTGTTCTTCATTAGAGAGCAAATACCTTGACAGGGCCACGACCATTGGAGCTCTTCACCACCCAAATAAGGTCCATGAGATAAATAATAGCATTGTGTGAAGGTTATTTTCTTTGTCTTGTTATTTGTCCAGTATTCAAGATTGAGCCCTGGACTTTGCATATTCTTTTCTTTTGTTGTTGTTATTTTGGTTTGGGTTTTTTGTTTGTTTGTTTGTTTTTCAAGACAGGGTTTCTCTAAGTAGTCTTGAAACTCAATCTGTAGATCAGGCTAGTCTTGAACTCACAGAGATCTGTCTGCCTCTGCCTCCTGAGCGTGCCCGGCTTGATTTTGCACATTCTAAGAAAGCTGAATTACATCCTCAGTCCTTTTTTTTCTTTTCTTTTTCTTTTTTTTTTTTTTTTTGTTTTGTTTTGTTTGTTTTTCATGACAGGGTTTCTCTGTGTAGCTTTGGAGCCTGTCCTGAAACTAGCTCTTGTAGAAAAGGCTGGTCTCCAACTCAGAGATCCATCTGCCTCTTCCTCCCAAGTGCTGGGATTAAAGGCATGTGTCCCATCCCCCACCCCACCCCCTCCTCTTCAGACCATTTTCTATTGTTTTGATTTTAATTGAGAAACAGGATCTCGCTAAGTTACCCAAGATGGCATTCAGCTCACCAAGTAATAGGTTGACCTTCAACACACAGCCCTCCTTCTTCAGGCTCCGGAATAACTAACATGTGTGCCACCACACCCAGATATTGTTTTTGTTTTTGCTACCTATTCTAGGTTTACACAAGAGGTTAACAGAGAGAGAAAGGGCATGAAGAAAGTCCCTATCTTTTTCCATCTCTCTTAAGTCTAAAATTATTTCTTATTTAAAGAATAACAAGAGCTATTTAAAATTGTCATCCCATGTATCCAATTCCCCCCCCCCTTGTTTTTTCGAGACAGGGTTTCTCTCTATTGCTTTGGAGCCTGTCCTGGAACTAGCTCTGTAGACCAGGCTGGCCCTTGAACTCAGAGATCCACTTGCCTCTGCCTCCCCAATGTACCCACCAATGCCTGGTCCATGTAACCAATTCTTAAATTTCTGTGAGTTTTATCCAACCTCTGGCATGCATGTGTCTCCTCAGGGCATCCAAAGTACTTGAGTTTTAGACACATCAGACTTGACTGGCATGATGTTTCAATATGGTAGACCAATGCCATTGGGTCTGGGTCCCTTTGGGATGCATTAGAATGGGAAACAGGAAAATGATGCAGCCTTGGAGCAAAACTGCACAAGTCTGTCCCATATGAATGTTAGGTTCCCTCAGGTGTAACATTGGTTTTGTTTACTTAGTTGCTGGGGGATAGCCAGGGGCAGTTCTGGGGTGCTTGTTTAGCCTTTCCTGATTTAATAGATCTTACTCTTCAAGCTGAGCACCTGTGTGAGACATCAGTCAACATCTAGGTATGTCTACTCCAGTGATACACTCAGGAAGTGGAGAGGTGGCCACTAGGATGGTGACAGGATCCGGGAGACCCCCTAAGACAGACCTGGGTGAGGACTCTCCTTTATTATCTAAATTCAGTAGTGTTCCATTCTAATGGCAGATAAGGAACAGTGATGAGAAGAGGAAGGATACTTAGGAATCCTAGAGAGCCCCATCCACTTAGATCCTTTAGCCAAAGTTTCTCAAAAAACTCAGAGTACTCTCCCCCCAGTCCGTGGTTATTTAAAGAATAACAAAGAATGAATGAATACATATGTGTGTGTGTATGTGGTGACACACTTTGGAGAAGGACCGAAAGAAGGTGTGTACTAGATCCTCATGTATAGCAGTCATGCCTTCAGTCCTTGCAGTCTGTCTGATAGGCTCAGGTCCTGAAATTGTGCAACAGATTACAATTCTCCACTGGAGTGATATCTGACCCCACCCCTTTACTCATCCCTGATCTGTTGGGACTATATATTATACAGTACCCTTATTGTCTGCCCACATAGCTCCTGCTTAAAAAATATGCTATGTTCCATCAGCCATCTTCATAAGGTCAGGTCAAGACCCCTGGCTGCCATTTAGACCTTGCTACACATTATGGTAATTAGATTACCACTGCTTCCGGCTTCTATCATTCTCCAGTGCTGCTAAAGGTTCCCATTTTATAACATCTTTCCCATTAGCCCTGTCCTGCTTTTAGGAGACAAACACCTCAGAGCTTCTCAATGATGCTGCTAGTCCCAGGCGGGGCATCTCTCATCACCTTGATGAGCAGCAGCACCCAGGCCCTTTCTGAGGGACACAATAAGCCAGAAAGTTTTCTAGTCGGTGTGTTTGAAGTTTCTGTAATGTTTTTCATTCCTGCATCCACACTGCACCATGAGAGCCCTGGCATCTCCATTAATGTGACCATTTGCATTCCCCAGATTTAAAGAACCATCCCAGTAGTCTGTTAGAATTAGCTCCCAGAGCTCTGACCACAGTAAGAAACCCTTTGCCATGGAGGATGTGCCCGTGGCTGGTTAAACTATCCTATCCCCACTTTATGTTTGGTTCCTCCTTAATCATAGCCTCTCACTATGAGAAAAGCCTTGCAGTTCCTTTCCCTCCCTTATCATCAAGATGAGCGCTTTGACCCACAGACCCAAGGAGGCCCTGTATCTTCCATCAGGTCAAAGAGGCCAGCTTGAATCTGAGGCATCGAGGTTCTCAAGAGAGTATCACTCAAGGCTCAGGGTTCTCCTGTCTCTGCGTCAGCGTCCCAACTTTGGCATTGGAAATATGCCCAAGATGAGAATTTTTTCCAGCTCTAAAGTTCCAGGCTACACCTAGTTTTCAGTTTGGAGGCCGGTGACAAAAAAACCTTTTAAAATTCTGCTGAACCTGCCTTCCAGCTCCAATATGTTGCTTGCCATCCATCTCCAAGTCAGACACCAAAGGTTGCATCAGCTAATGCATGTCTTCTCCTGCACCATTCTCTTGCTCAGCAAAGACATCTGCCACAGTATCCCGGGTACTATTAATACTCCAGTAACTAGCCATGGGATGGCTTGCTGTTGCCTAGCGATGGGACTTGTCCTGGTTACCATCCTGTCCTCCTGAGAATCCCATCTGTAGTCTGCTTCCTAGGAATACCTCCTGCTGGTGGCTTCCTAGAAATGGGACTGAAGCAGAGATCTGCTTACAAGACTCTTGCTCTCAAGAGAAGATGGGGTGAAAGAAACAGAATATGGAGACGAGAGAGGAAAGTATCGGTGTGGTCTCTTCTAGAGACAAGCTTCAGCTAGAACCCACGTCTGAAGCAAAAATTATTCTATATGCTTACTCAGCCTTGAGGCAAAGGCGCTGATTCTCCTGTGTTACATTCTAGTGTTATTAACTACAAGTGGCCTGAGGATGTGGGACAGAAGCCGCATAGCACGACAGGCCACGCTCTTCCGAAGGGTGTCCTCTGGAGAAGCTCATGGCAGCAGGAGGATGGGTGCCCCACAGTGAGAGAGCCACTGCAGGCACCTGAGGACCACTAAGTCAGCACTAGCTTCTTGAAGGAGCCCGTATGTGGCTGTACGTGCCTGGGAATCTCTAGGAAGACACAAGAGAAACTGTTGCAATAGTTGCTTCTGGTGACAGGATTGAAACCAGCAAACTGCCATGTCTAACTTACAGCTAGACTTTTATCCAGGTATGTGTCTTGCTTTTTAATTTTGAGGTAGGAAAAAACAAATGAAAATCTCCCTTTATGTACCCGT